TTCCTGGGTCAGGAAGATCTCCTGGAGAAGGAAATGGCAACCCACACCAGTACTCTTGCCTGGGAAATCCCATGGATGGAGGAGCCTGGTGGGCTACAGTCCATGGGGTCGTGAAAAAGACTGAGACACAACTTAGAGACTAAACAACAACAGTATTTGGCAGAAAAAAGACACATCAAAAAAAATGAATTTTCCATACTGCTAAAATTTCTATTTCTGGGTCAGTATTTAGGAAGATGGCTGAGCTGGAAACTAGGGTTCATGGATTCTTGTTCCAGTAGCTTTTCCAGTTGGCAGTCATATGACCTTGGAAACATCATTTAACTTATTTGAGCCTCAGTTTCCTCATCTGTAAGGTAAGGTGGTTAGACCAAATGACTTTTAATTTTTTGTTTAGCTCTAAAAAGGACTGAGGATCCATTTTTACAAAATGGAACACTTATTTCCTTGCTAACAGATAGTACTGAACCCAACTTTGCTTTCTTGTAGACTTTAGGATTTATCACAGATAACCCTTCCTGTATTTCCGTCACTGTTCAGCATTTGGCTGTGACTGAGTTTCACACTTATTCTAACAGTCATGCTCTGGCTCTAGAAGGTGGCCCTCCTTGATGTGGATCAGGAACCCAGATAGGCAAGCTCATTAGGAATCAAAAGATGAATAATGCCATGCAAGTTCTAGAGAGAATCTAAGTAAGTGGCTCTTAACTCTTTGCAGGTGCAGGTGGACTTGTTTTACTAATTTCCAGGTTGAAATAAATATTTTGGAAGACTGAGTTGTGCAGTGTGATCACCAGCCAAGGAGGATACTATTTTATAGCCATAAAGTACAAATCAAATCTGCATTTATTGCATATAAATGACCCAAGATACAAAATCAGTTATCAAATGGGGGGAGAAAGACTAAACACCAAAATTTTTAAAGTTTTAAAACTCTCTCATGTAGCGATAGACTCGGGGCTTCCCTGGAGCTTTCCTTGTGGCTCAGCTGGTAAAGAATCTGTCTGCAATGAGGGAGACTGGGGTTAGATCCCTGGGTTGGGAAGATCCCCTGGAGAAGGAAAAGGCTACCCACTGCAGTATTCTGGCTTGGAGATTTTCATGGGCTGTACAGTCCATGGGGTCGCAAAGAGTCGGACACAACTGAGCGACTTTCACTTTCACTGGTGGCTCAGATGGTATAGAATCTGCCTGCAATGCAGGAGACCTGGGTTCGATCCCTGGGTTGGGAATATCCCCTGGAGAAGGAAATAGCAACCCACTGCAGTATTCTTGCCTGGGGAATTTCAGAGATTGACTCTGGAATTAACAAGTAAACTGAAAATATATCCAAATACATGTTGTATTAAAGAGTTATACATGTGGCAGTGACTAGAGTGGTTTTTCTTTTCTAACAGGCATTCAGAGCCTCTAACATACCACTAGTACATGCTCTAACACCGCCCTTAGCAAATATAATACAGTCTTCCCTGTGATATGTGGCAGGCTATAATATGGCCAACTTAGAAGAAAAAAAAAAAGACTATTCTGCCCACTTCCATTACGCTACATAGTCAAAAGGCAGGGTATTTTTATTTCTGGGAGGAATTAAGCTAAATCAGGAAATGTGTGTACAATATGAGAGCAACCGTTTATCTTAATTTTGCCTTCAGATAGTTCTTTAGTCGCTAAGTTGTATCTGATTCTTTGCAATACCCTGAACTGTAGCCCACCAGGTTCCTCTGTCCTTGGGATTTCACAGGCAAGAATACTAGAGTGGGTTGCCATTTCCTTCTCCAGTGGATCTTACTGAACCAGGGGCCAAACCCATGTCTTCTACATTAGCAGGCAAAATTCTTTACTGCTGAGCCACCAGGGAAGTCCCTATATGTATAGTTAAGTCTGCATAAAGAAGCACAAGGTTGCTGAAAGTGTGAAAAAAAATTGGCTCACTCTGTTATCAAAAACTTTCTTTTGTGATAGAAAGGAACTAGGTGGGGCCCCAGGGTAGCTCCATTCAATAGGGACAACATTGTAATGGGAAGTGGCTTCTGCTTATGTCCCTGGAACACATGTATTTTGAAATGACATGTAAACTAACTTCAGAGACTTAAGTCACCTGATATTTTTTGAGTTAGTATCTTAAATACCTTTGCCCAAGTATCTTTTGAATCAATTCACCCTCTCCTCTGGTGGGATTTTTCTCAGCACCCACTTTGCTTGTATCTTCCCCATTTCATTCTCACTGCAGTGGAAGTGAACTTTCTCAAATACAGATCTGCTCTGCTTAAAATCCTCTAATGGCTTCTCTGAAGACTGTAAGACCCCTGAAGGTAAGAACTGTATTCCGAGTACCTGGTCGAGTGTCTATACATATGCTGTCTCCAAGACCAGGTTGGGGTTTCATTCAATTTTCAAAAGCTGCTTGTACATGGAGTTTTACTGCCCTTGGAAAAATTTTAGACATGATACCCTTTGCCTTATGTTAATACTGTTCACTGCAGCTCAGAAGACTCTTCGAAGATGCTTGATAACACTGAGTCAGTATTTGAGGTATTTAAGTCTTTGCTTGAGGATACACATTTATTTACCTGATGGGCGTGTTGCAAGCATACTTTAGGGTAGGGTCATTTTGGTGATATGTGTTCCTTTTGAACATTCCAATCTCTGTGGGACCATGATTTTCTCATATTAGAAAGGGGAGAGTAGATAGAAGATTTCATTTTCATTTTATTAAATAGTATTCAGGTGATAACCAGGCTATAAGACTGTAACAGGGTGGCAGCTGTGACAGGGTGGCAGATGGGTGACAGCTCAGGTCTGCCCCAGGATGAATCTATTAATTCCTCTTTTCTAGATACCCAGCAAGTCTATCTGCCACCAATAATTAAAATGCGTGCTGTATATGTGTTCTAAGTCACTTCAGTCGTCTCCAACTCTTTGCTATCCCATGGACTGTAGCCCACCAGGCTCCTCTGTCCATGGAATTCTCCAGGCAAGAATACTGGAGTGGGCTGCCATGCCCTTCTCCAGGGGGTCTTCCCAACCCAGGGATCAAACCCATGTCTCTTACGTCTCCTGTATTAGCAAGTGGGTTTTTTTACCACTATTGTCACCTGCAAAGCCCAGTAATCAATATAATACCCTCAAAAAGAAAGAAAGAGAAAAAAATGGGCAGAAGCTAGGTTCTGTTTTATGAAGAGCCGAAAAGAGTTCAAGATACTGAGTTATTAAAAAAAACTGTAAACTAGGGGAATCTGACAGTCCAGGTAGAGGAAAATCAGCTACCAAGAATTGGTATTTAACTATTTGGAAATTGAAGTCCATTCCTGGAAGCACAATCAATGGGCTCCCAGGGCACCAAGGGCGGAGCAGTTCCTGGAGCAAGGAGGGTAGTCCCTGCTCCGCCCTCGGGCAGATGCTGGATTCGGGCCAGAGCTTAGTCGGGCTGTTTCCAGGCTCAGACAGGGCCTAGGTGAGACGTTAGAGGCACTGTTCCATTCCCAGGCTAATGAACATGTTTAGTTGATATGCAAGCTACCGTTTTGTTTTAAATTCCAGATATGTAAAAGCTCTTTAGAATCTAGCTAAGACTGGTCAACTTAATCTGTAGATGTCATTACACATCTAAATCTTCAGAACCTTTGAGGACCAGACCCTAGGGTCAGATGCCACGAGACAGGTGCTTATTGCATACTTGCTGACTCAAAGAACAAGATCATGATGGGCACAGAGTGAGCCAAGAAGAAAAAGAAGCAGAACCCCGCCTCTGTCAATGTCTGCTCCATTTCACCTCTGTAATCAAGGCAGTTTCCTACAACTAACTCTTCACACTTTAGCCAAATACCAGCTACCCCAGAACTCTACTTGACCTTCAAAGCCTTGTAATGGTTTCAGTGATCTGCCTCGTGACTGTTAGGATGTCCCAGCGACCTGAGCACTTAGCCTTATTAGACTTTAACATATCTTCTTAAAACAGTGTGAACTTGAGGATTCAGTGGGGGAGTAACTGCCAAATAACAGAATCTACTGTCTTTAAAAGAAGCGACAACTTTTCACTTCTTTCTCATTCAACTCTCAAACGTTTCTTAAATAGCTTGTTTACAACCACCCAGTAACATACACACACCATGGTGAGAAGTGCCATCAGCAATTCTCTCTGATATTGACAGAAAGAAAACAAGCATCCTATTCTTCAATAATTTGAACCACCTCATGGAACACTAACTTCCTCTAAATTCACTGGGCAAACATCTATACCACAATGGAAAATAAAATGTGCTAAATTACTAAAGGGGAGTTTTTGTTTTGTTTTTAAAGTTAATTGCAATGCTTAAGGGGGGAAAAAATGATTTTTGTCTTATATCATTGGAAAATTCGTTCAGTGGTGGTTGGTGAAAATCTCACCTCATCTGGACTGCCAAGGTCACTGAGACCCAAATAACTGACCGGGGAGATATTTGCCTAATTATCAGATATTCAGCAAACCATGTGTAACCATTTAACTGTTTGTACCTGGGACCCGCCTTCAACACGCGTTGCTTCCTAGCACGGCCCCGCTCTCTTCCCCCCCCCACTCATCGCCACCCAGGGCGCCAGCACCCCTGAAGGAGCAAAATCCTGGGACTCAAGGACATTTCAAAGAAACAGCGGCGGTCACCGTCCCTTTCCGTTTTCCTTAAAAAAACAAAACAAACAAACAAAAAAAACACTCAGATGCTTAAAAATGGGGGAAGGAGGGGGTTCTTAGAAATAGTGGGAAATCTTTTGCAGTTTTTCCAATCCAAGTTCTCAGGCACTCTTGAAAGTTCATTAATTAGAGATTTAAACACAAAAGTGTTTCGCACACTAATTAGATGCCAAGCTTTGTAAGCTGTCTTGGTCTTCAGTTTGGGGGAGTTAGTAAAAGTCCCCCCACCTCACCCCATTCTGCATTTTGCCTCTCTTTCAGAGCCTTTTCTTGAATGACCTGACCTTTCCAAAGCAATCAAACTGAGAATTGCCTCACTCCCACCCCCCACTTTTTTCCTCGTGGCAAAAGGAAATAAAGACGTAAAACTGCCCGGCGAGCGAAGTGGGGGCAATTAAACCACAAAGCCGAGCTCCGCGGAAGTCAGTCTCCGGTGCGGCCCGTGGCGCCGCGGGGAGCGCGGGGCAGGAGACGGTCCCTACCTGGGGCGGGGGCGGCGGCGGCGGCGGGGTCCCGGCGCCCATGGCTTCGCCGGCCTCGGGCGGCCGCGCTGGGAAACGCCGGCGGCTCAGAGCCGCCCGGACCCGCGGCGCTCGCAGCGGCCGCCCTGGCGCCGTCATTGGGCCGGCGCGTCACGTGGCCCGGCCGGCGGGCGAGCCTCCAGGGCCCGCGTAACCCTTTACCTGCGCTGCCCGCGCGGAGCCCGACCGCCGGCACCCCTCACCCCCGCCCCGGAACCCGGGCTGGCCTGCGGGGCGCACCCAGGCAGAAAATCCCGGAGCTCGGCTTCTGATCGCCGACACTTAGGCTGCACGCCAGCCGCCCGCTCGCTCGGGGAAACTTTTTGGTGCCTACTTTACCGTCAAGCTGCGGGGAGAGGGGAGCTTCCTAAGATGCGGGACGTAAGTGGAGAGATACATAAGTGCACTCCCTGGCAAACTGATGTATCCCCGCTTCTTCCCGTGAACGTGTCGTTTTGTTTCCTCCCGCATTCTGGCAAGAGCCGCCTAAACCTGGCGTGCGCACTATCGCCTGCCTTTAAGGGATACATATTCTGGGAAAGAGCGCAGACGCTACCAGGATGAGAATTCCCAGGGAAGTTGCATAGCCTCGCCGGCACCCTGGAGACCGCGGAGGGGGTTCAGCGAAGTCATGCTCCCCCCGCCCCCCACCTTCCCTCCCTGTTCCTGGGGGTGTCGGAAGCTCGGCTGCACACTCCGTCTACCATCCTGAGCTCCACGCCTGAGCCTGTGGCCATCCATACACTTAAGGTGGGTTGATTCACCCTAAAATAGTACTTAAGTGTTGGAGATTCTTTTCACCTGTGCTCCAAAGTGCGTCGGTGTTGGCCTTAACAGGGACATATGTTAAGCAAGGGCGCCACCTAGCTGGTCCTTTTCTCTCTTTTCCCTTCATTCGTTCATTCAGAGAGCGTCAGCACGAAACGGTATGCGGGAGAAGCAACAGGGCAGAACACCATTTAAAGATGTCATTTGTCCACTCCAGTGATTCCAGCGCTATTTCCATGACAACGTTTGTCACACTTTATGGGGAAAACTCCTTTTTTGAATCGTTCCACTTATGTAGTGGCTGCATGCTTTGACGATTAGGGATGTTACATGCTGCTTGGGGCTTACCAGGTGGCGCTAGTGGTGAAGAGCCTGCGTGCCCATGGCAGGAGACACAGGAGATACCGGTTCCATCCCTGGGTTGGGAAGTTCCCCTGGAGGAGGAAATGGCAACCCACTCCAGTATTCTCCCCTGGAGAATCCCATGGACAGAGGAGCCTGGCAAGCTACGGTCCATGGGGTCGAAAAGAGTCAGACGCGACTGAAAGGACTTAGCCCAGGTGCATGCTGTTTCACATTACTTTCTGATAAAACCCTTTGTCCCCGTAAAGAACCATCTTATCCAATTTCTAACCCATGCTTGAACATGTTCACAGGATAATGGTAAGTTTTAGTTGGCTGTTTTGACCAAAAAGACTTGGGTGTTTCTCTTGGGTTTTAAAGTATGTTTCCCAGACTAGCAGAATCAGCATCATCTGGGGGAATTTAGTAAAACTGCAGATTCTTGGGCTCCATCCTAGACACGGAAATAATGGGGTCAGGGAGGGTGAGAAAATACGTGTTTTAACAAATGAGGCACCACTGCCCTGAGTCTGCTCAAGCTGCTGGCTAGGTTACCCTCATCTATTAAAGGCTGGGATTCTATAAACCACAGGCAGTGATGTTAACCTCAAGTTACCAGTTTATCATGTTGATACCAGCTTGTCATGTTGATACACTGACCCAAGCCCTCTGATGTGTCCGTACAATGTGTAATCTGTAGTTAATGCAGATGACACGGTGCCAAATGGAGCTCAGAGGGGCCCATCATAAAAAAATACAGAAGAAAACCTATGGTATCTTCATGCATATGGGAATGAAACACCATGATTCACTTGTTTCCTAAGGTGTGTGTATGTTTTCATTGGCATATAAATTGTTCTCTGATGATAGGTCATGGAAGCTAAGAAAGCTGTTGGGTTGGTCAAAAAGTTCATTCGGGTTTCCTGTAACAGCGTGCAGAACCTAAACAAACTTTTTGGCCAACCCAGTAATTTGAGTGGATATAAATCTTTTTTATTGGAGGATAATTGCTTTACAGTGTTATGGTGGTTCAGTCATAATTGTGCATATATTCCCTCCCTCTTGAGCCTTCCTCCCCCCTCCCATCCCACCCCCCTGGGTTCTCACAGAGCACCGGGCTGGGTCCTCTGTGTCACACAGCAGCTTCCCACTGGTTATCCATTTTACACATGCTAGTGTGTATATGTCAGTGCTACTTTCTCAGTTTGTCCTATCCTCTCCTTCCCCCACTCTGTCCACAAGTCAGTTCTCTACGTCTGTGTCTCCATTCTTTCCCTTCAAATATTTGTCAACATAGCTCTAAACAAAAGAAGAGGCAATTTTTTAAAAGGTTATAGTATTGGCTTTGGAGAAGGAAATGGCAACCCACTCCAGTGTTCTTGCCTGGAGAATCCCAGGGACAGGGGAGCCTGGTGGGCTGCCGTCTATGTGGTCGCACAGAGTCGGACACGACTGACGTGACTTAGCAGCAGCAGCAGCAGTATTGGCTTTGGAGAAGGGAATGGCAACCTACTCCAGTATTCTTGCCTGGACAGAAGAACTTGAAGGGCTACAGTTCATGGGGTCGAAAAAAGTGTCCAACATGACTGAGTGACTAACACTGGTGGCTCAGTGGCAAAGAATCTGCCTGCAATGAAGGAGACTCCGGCAATGCAGGAGATGTGGGTTCGATCCCGGGGTTGGGAAGATCCCTTGGAGAAGGAAATGGCAACCTCTCCAGTATTCTTTTCTGGGAAATCCCATGGACAGAAAAGCCTGGAAGGCTACAGTCCATGGGGTCGAAAAGAATCTAACACGACTGAAGTGACTTAACGTAGCATAGTATTGGCTTTTGTTATAATCAGGCAAGTGCCATGCTAAGCATTTTAGACTTTTGAGGAAGAGATTAGTGGTTAGATTCTATATTTTTAGCTCCGTTTTCTCCATTGGATAGATAGTGTATTTCCAGTTGCCTGCATGGATGTCTTAACCTTTAAACTCTCTTGGTCCAACTTTATTACTTTCCTCATTTTCATCTCCTAACCTATTCATTTTACATTTGTAACTCTACTCTTCACTCAGTTTTGGTTGGAACTGGAATTGGAATTTTCCTTCTTTTTCATCACCAGCCTCTATCGCTGTTCTCTCTCTCAGTGATGTCCTGAAGTCCCTCCTCTTAGCAAGTTCAGTACCACTGCCCTGAGATCAAGTGCTTATGCGTTCTATGTCGGACCTTTGCAACAGTCTTTGCTGGCCTCTCAGCTCATGGCCTCTTTCATCACTCGTCCAGCTGACACACTGTTGCCCCAGGCATGCTAAAATACCATTTCAACCAGACTATTCCCCTTCTCAAAAGCTTCTTAATGATCCCCTATAGGTTATCATGGGCTTCCCCGGTGGCTCAGTGATAAAGAATCCACCTGCAATGCAGGAGCCACAGGTTTGATCCCCTAGAGGAGGACAAGGCAATCCACTCCAATATTCTTGCCTGTAGAATCCCATGGACAGAGGAGCCTGGCGGGCTACAGTCCATAGGGTCGCAAAAAGTCAGACACAACTGAAGTGACTGAGCACGCATTGGTTACCAAATAAAGTTTAAAATCCCCACGTAGCATTTAAAGTTATCCAAGTACTTTGGAGATACTTTGGCTCTCCCTGATTTTGCTCAGGCAGCTTCCTCCACCTGAAGTGTCTTTCTGACATTCTGACAGCTAAGTGCTGCTTGTCCTTCAAGGCCCTGCTCTCTGTCGCCTCCTCTTGGCCATCCTTTTTGATTCCCAGGTGGATTTATTTGTTTCTCTGCAGTGTATCCTTAGCACCTGGCTTTCATGTTCATTAACCACTTTTTTTTAAAAATCATAGTCTGCCTTAGAACCTGGCTTTCATGTTCATTAACCACTTTTAAAAAAAAATCATTTTCTGTCTTATATGTAATTTAGTTGCACCTCCCTTAGCTTCTGGAGGGCAGAGGTGGGCATGACTAATTTTTAAATCATCCTAGGCATAACATAATATCTTGGACATAGCAAGTACAGTGTTCGTTGTATTTGTGCTCCTAGGAAGGAAGATATTTACATAAACAACAAACTTCATGTATATTAAATTATTTTATGCAAATAACAATGATCCACTCCTCTACAGTTTCTCTGAGAACTGAACTTCATGTACTACACATAGTACTAGCTTCCTGTTTTCCTAATAAGACTGAAATCAAAGGAGGTATAACCTATTTTACTCAACTTTGTCATCCTGGCAAAATGCATACCCAGGTGAATATTTGCTGAATGAATGCCTCAACTATTGTGGTTATGGTTATACCTGAAAATTCTGGGAGTTTGCAAAGACCTCCAGTAAACTTCAGAGCCTAGTCTGGTCTCTAATCTGAAAATTAGAGAATATTCTTCTAGGTTATTATCAGTAAGTGTCTGCTAGATACTCAATGCTTGATTTTTATGTGCTGTGAGAAGCCAACAAAAAGAAATTGATGATGTATTGAAATCCTGTTCAGTGATGCCCTCTGGACCTCTGTTTTTAGGTTTCTTCATCTGTACCTTTGGAATGTTTCCCATGCCTACTTCATACGGCTGTTGTGAAGATTACATGACTTAGACCATGCAAAGCTCCAAAAAGTGTCTCATGTACAGTAAGCACTCAGTAAGCATGAACAATTATTATTATTATTATTATTGAAGATATCAAACTGCACCTGCCAAAGTTGGAGGATAAAAACAAACGCCATGCAAACCTAAATAGTTTATCCTTTATTCATACAAACAATACATACACAAGACTATACCTTTTTTGAAGACTGCAGTAATTTTCTAGTGTAACAACTCTGTAACAAAATTTAACTAAATGTAACATTTATGAAAATATAAATCTCTGATTGGGTAATTCTTCCCAACAATACAAAGTTTACATAAAAACATTCAATATGAGCTATCAGTTGCAAACAAGTTAGGAAAAATCATTCAAGTCACTTGTTAAAACTCTATTAGCTGTTACATGGA